TTTCCGGTAGCATCCTATTATGCCTGCACTATTGCAATTTTTACCGTGTTTATTTAGATAGTGTAGTGTGCTCCTTTGAGCGACATGGCACTTTTAATCCCCAACTGGGAATGTTCCACGTCCACGGTTCAACTTTGGAAATGATCATGCAGACAATGGACCCTGGACTAGGTGCGTTCCAATAAGTCTTTCTACCAATATGACCAGTTTCGAAAACACTTTCTACCAATATGACCATGTTGCGAAAACAAGGTCAAACAACCTCTATACAACGAAAGGAGACTGCGAGCACACAAAAGGCCACACCATCTTGGTCTTCATACCTAACCTACATTGTGTTTGCGTCCGAAATCGTACCCAAGGTTCATCTCAAAAATGATACTGGGGAAACCCTGGAGCAAGCAAAGTTACCTATGATCGATGACACCAATAATCTTTGAATTATACATGTTTCTCTTATTCGGCCTCTTGGTATAAATAGTGGATCCGAAAGCATCAAGTAACTGTTTGTACTGTGCCGTATGACAACAGACTTCTGCTTAGCACCCGTCGCCAAGTAAAGTGAGGTTGAAAAACTCTGAACTTTATTAATCGCCTATCCCAAGCAGTCGCAAACCAATAAATTATGCACAGGTATCGGAGTATGTCAGCTTGCGTGGAAGCGTAATTCACATAAGAGTGTGTTTCAATGTATTCGGTGGAAAATGAGGCCGTGCACTAGCTATGAATGCAGAAAATGTGAATTTATTTTTTAATAGAAAGCCCTATTTTCCCTGTTGTCGTAATGTTTTACATACTCTGAGCTCATCGAGTAGACGAGCCTTCTCGCCAGCGACCAAAGACTGATCGTTCATTATAGCCTCCCGCTCGGAGGCCAGCTTTATCTGCTGCTCGCGCATATAAGCCTCCATACTCTCGCCTCCATCGTCAGCACCAGCTTCGCTGTCGCCCTCACCACCTTCGTCCACATCTTCGCCGTCCTCATCCGCGTCAATTTCAGTACCTTTTGAGAAGAAAGAGAAATAAGACAAAGAAGATGCATGTTTATGTAACGGAAAAGGGAGTTGGATAGAATAGAAAGAGTATGAGTGATGAGATGCTAAAAAAATCATCAGATCCCACCTATTGTTCATGGATTTTTCGCCAAAATATAAAAACTGAGTTAAGTCATTTAAGTTTACCCACATGTATGTCTGGGAAGTAAATTTCAGAAAACATAATGATTGCGAAACGATAAATGATTAAAGTTTAATTTCAGAAAGTGATGTCTGCAGTCGCGTAGGAATATTGTTAGCGAAAATTTTGGCTTCGAAGCTATCTGACTACTGTCAAGGCATACTGGTTTGATGTTTAATTTACATCAGGTCTCCTCAATTGCGAATTAAAGAAAATGCTTTATTTTTGCCTTGAACTCTCACAAAGTCATCAATCCAAAGAATCTTCTTCACTTAATGCTGACCGCAGTATAAACCACACCTCGGTTTCATAGGCATCTCCAAAAGGAGTTTAGCCATGGTTAAACGAGTCCAGCCGCATTGCATAGCATTGCAGGCATGAATTTCGAGGAAGAGCAAGTCTGGATGAGGAGGACCTGTAATGACGCATGGCAAAGTGAAATTCCTGATAAAAATCAAACTATTCCTTTGATACATCTTTCGAATACTGGCTATTAGTCGAATTCAAGAAATCACCCCATAATTAATAAAAACGATCGATGATTTTGGAATGTGATCTATTCTTCATTCACCTTTTATTTCATACACTCACGTGCATATATACACAAGCACACACACACACAAACACAGCTTTGAGTGATAGATTTTTGGCTCAATCCTAGTCGTATAAAGTAACATTACGCTTTTATGAAAAGTGGCTAATTTTTGTTTGTTAACTCACCATCCTCCAGAGTGATCTTTCGGCGCACCCGGGCGCCTTTGCGACGCCGCGATCTAATCGACCTCGGCGCCGATGACATAGCCTTCTGCTGTAGAAGACTCTTAAGGCGCTCTATCTCGCTCTGATACTGTCGTAGCAAGGCGTCCTTGGGGTCCTCGTTGATGCGTGGTCGATTCTTAATGTTCTTTGCTCGGTTCGCGTAGCGCAGAGTATTCAATGTCTCATCGTAGTTGTAAGAAGCCGGACCGATGTTGGCCACCATGACGGTGCGAGAGTTGCCACCAAGCGAGTCTGCAAATGTTAGAAAATATTGGTAGGATAGAAAGTATAATAAGGATTAATGAAGCTTGCAAGAGGTGGAGAAGTGATATGAGTAAAAGAAAATGTATCTCATGATTTAGAGATAGATATTTGTGGCGAAATAAAATGGGATGAAAATAAAGAGTAGTAGAAAAAGAAGATAATAACGAAAATAATTGTAGATAATATGATGCGGAGGTTTGTGGAGAGCTTTTGGAGTAAGCCATCCATGGTTATAAATGGTAAGTTTCAAACCTTGCTTAATTTTAGACAAAATAAGCTTAAAAAAATTTTCACAATTATTCAGATGACACAAAAAGAAACATTTTACACCCACTTAATAATTTTCTTCTGTATATTAAGGCGCAACTTTGAAAAAAAATCCAGGATGTATGAATTAAATGTATCGTAATTTTGATAGAGAATTCCTTAAGAGTAAGTGTAATAAATGGCAGTTTAGCGTGTTGATAACAAGTCGAAATTATACGCTGCACAACCCAGGTTTGATTTCTCCTGGGTTTGGCTATGAGACCCGAGCGAGGTCCAAACCACAGTCATCCCTGGATAAGAATACCTTTTGGGAAGAAAGGCTAAGTGTAATTCAATGGCGTTGTGAGGCCTACACATAACATTATTGAAAAATTCAACTATCCGCTCTTTCCTACTTAATGCTAACTAAGGGAAAGCGTGTGTCTCTAGTTCTGACGAAACATTGTTCGATAACCTAAGAACTATTATTATTTGCCTCCTTTAAAAATTCATATTCTCTCTACATAAGGCTAGGGTCCATCTGATAGATTTAAAGACAGCCCTTGTCAAAAGTAACTATTATATTTCCTATG